ATTATTTGTATGAGTGAACAATATCGACAAAGTAATTTTTGTCGAGCAGAAGCACACTATGCATTTCAACGACAACGTCGAATAGTTCCAGTGCTTATGCAAAAACACTATGAACCAGATGGATGGTTATTATTTTTGATTGGTCAATTATTATATGTTGATTTTACTAAATATGAATTTGTAAGAGCAATGGAAATGTTATCCAAGGAACTTGAAGTTACAGATATTACTAAAATAAGTATATCATCTGTACCTGTTGCACAAGCAATAATAGTTAAAGATCCACGAACAAGAAATACACGTCCACCAAATATACCCCAATGGACAGAATCAAATGTGCAAGATTGGTTGATTGAACATAATCTTCAACAAATGTCTCGCCTTCTTGCAAATTGTGACGGACAAAGTTTAGTCTACTTGAACAAACACATGAAATATGGTAAACCGCAACAAACTTTAAAATCATTCTATGAAGATTGCATTCGTCATTTAGGTGAAAATTTATCATTAATTGAACTATCTCGTTTACAATCATTAATAGATCAACAAAAAAGATTTGTTCGATCATCATTGCGTACGCAAGGAAGAAAAAACAGACAGTAAAGATATTCTTAAGGATGTTTTTTGTAAAACTAAAATAATTTCAATAAACGAAAAGTCGCATCTATGTTCACTTTTGTAAAACTGTTTGTTCAATAAAAATATATGTATTTGGCTTTTTTTTCTATACGTAAAGCTATGTTGCGGATGACAATGATGAAGTATTTATTAAATTAATAAAACAATATGTTGTAGTCATTCATCTTATATTGCCGGCAGAATATCAAAACTATGAATAGAATGAGGGTGTAGGTGGGTGAATGTGAGTGTGGCTGTAGGCGGTAGCTTATTCATACCCACACCCAGTTACATTTTTATATTAAAGGATTTAATTAGTCTAATATCTGTCTTAGTTTGTCTTAAAATAAATTTTACCAATAATAAACGTAGGCAGTTAACAATACACACATCTTGAAACATTTCTTATTAAATTAATCGAAAAAGTATTCTAATATATCCTACCTAGCCATAAAATCTTAATTAACTACCATCATAAGATATGACTCAATACATAGGTACTCACTCAAATGATCATTCAATTTCTATTCAATTTTGTCGAACATTTTTCATAAGTTTTTGAATGAAATACTTTGAAAAATTCTAGACTAATGTGTCTGAAATCCATAAAATACTGTTATAATTATAATTGTATTTGTTAATGAAATGAAATAGAAAGGATAATTTCTTTCTTTAAATAGTAAATAAGAACTTAGAAATAAATCATTTTCGTTGAATTTTCGTACTAAATATATAATAAATTCATATATTTATGAAATAATAATATTTGATTTTGAAAATAAGCTTTGTATTCATAATAAATAGTATGTCTAGAAGAAAGACTGAGCTATTTATCATTAAAATCCTACTACTAGAATAGAAAGCAAACGATTTTTTTAAAATTATAGATGACCTAACAAATTCCCATCATTTATATTGAGATTTGAAGAATATAAGTGGAGACCCTTTCGTGTAAGATCAATATGATCTCTATCAACGTTCTAAAATAAAAATCTCTCTATATAGTTATATTGAATGCGTATTAAAAATTGCCAATGATGTTTACAAAATAATGATGAATATGAATTTTCTGAGAAAAGATTTCGTTTGAATAGATCATTATTTTAATAAAATCAAAATTACATAAAAAGAAGTCTATAAAATAGTATCATTGGAAGAAATATATAACTTTCTATTAGAAATGATTAATGTAAGATATTCAATTCATTACACGTATTTTATTTGATCGGATTTTGTTTTAACCAGTCAATAACTTCTTGTGCATGTTTATCAGTTGGAAATATTGGATAAAATACATGTTCAATCGTATCATCTTTCATGATTATTGTTAGGCGTTTAATTAATGGAATATTTTCTAATTCCGGTAAAGTAAAATAAGGTAAATGTAAATGATTTACTAATTTTAAATCAGAATCACTTAATATATCAAATGGTAAATGTAATCGTTCAACAACCTCTTGTTGATAATCGGTTGTTTGTGTACTGCATCCATAAACATTGGCACCTAATGATTGTAATTCTTGAAAATGATCACGAAATCCACATGATTCTGGTGTACAACCTCGAGCACCAGGAATTTCATCCCAACCATCAGGAAGCTTTTGATCTGGTTTGCCAGTTCGAGGATAAAAATATATTACAGTACGTGGATAACTAGTAATGTCTACAGAATGCTTGTTAGTCACAGGTAAACTAGTGAGAATGTCAATTGGAAATTTCATGCCAACTTTCAAATGTGCACATTGACCATCATCTACTGGCACAGGTAGATTATCAGGCAAATCAAATCGATGCATTATAATTACAATATATATGTACTATTATTACGAATAGGTATGATTTGTTTTTTGCTAAATTGTCTTTCTAGTATACTCTATTTGCAGGCGAAAATTATTACTATAGATAGATAACTACCATTACAACTGACAGAATGTTGTCCTCTCTATATATTGTCTCACACTCTAGATAGTGCTAGTTGTTAAGATTTTATTACAAATTATATTTCAAAAATTGATTGTCAATTTATCTTACAATATAGATATTTGTGCTGTCAGTTAGACAGATGGTACATAGTCAGATCAAATGAAAGCTCTCAGCACCAAAATGCCAACGTTAAAATATTAGTAGTCATTCGATTTTTACAGTAGCCACGGTTTCATTATATAGCCGAAAAATTAGGATTGGTAGCATCACTAAGGTGTGGCTATTGAGGATCGAGTTCATCATGTAAATTTTGAGCTCCATTACTCAGAATTTTAGATACAAACAAATGATACTCATTGCCAGTATTTCATTTAAATCTTTATTTACCGAAGATGGATGAATAGTTTTAGAATGAAAGGAATATGTAGCATCATTCTGTTTCTCAATAAACGTATTCAATATTGAAAATTGTAATCATTAATCTTCTATTATCATTTCTGACTCCTATGTTTTGAATACAACAGTGAAATACTTATAATTTGATCATCATACAAATAAAATAGATGAAATCCAAGAATACAAAGGTAAGAACTATCACATTATTCTTTTCAGCATCTATCTCCGTCGAAAAAAAGACAGGCAGAGTATGAGTTCAGAGAAGATATACATCCACCGCCCCAAATATTACATCTATTTAATGATATCATAACTAGAAAAAAAATGATATTATTGAAGTAAATCTTTTCGAAATAATTTATTTTATTTAAACAAAAAAAATATTTTATGTATATTGTCAATAAAGTTTTATGTTCATTTTCAGTTACTGTATAGTGTGCAAACGTCATTGGTAGATAATTCTCGACTATAAACACGAAAATCATCAATATCTCCATGAAATGGCATTGCAGTCACCTGGTTCCCAAAGCATGATGACGGAGCACTTAAACTATTAGCTAAAGTAATATAATGAGGCGATCCACTGCCTGAATATGATCCAGCTGAGATAAGATTTGATGCAACAAGAACGTTGTTGATATAGAGACGAATACCATTTGTTGAACTCCATGTTTGAACAAGATGTGACCAGACTGATGTTGCAACAGAATGTGTAGAATCAGTAACTGCGACGAAGCCAGTTCCATTATATATTTGTGCCATAACTGTACCATTAATAGAAAAACCAAAATGTGGTGAGCAATATCCATATCCTGCTGATGTGGATGAGATAAGAACGATAATGCCGCGAAGAGAGATCGGTCGAACCCAGAGAGAAATAGAGAATGGTCTGTTGGATATTCCCAGTGCAGTAAAATCACTCATTTGAAAATAAGAAGAATTTGAACCAGTAAATGAGATTGCTTGAGAAAATCGACCAGATGCAGTAGATGATGTTGAGTTTGTTGTAGCTTGGAGAGAGTTTGGACCCGAATCATTAAGAAATAGTCCATTATCGAAAGTAAAATAAGCGACTAATGTTGCTATTTCTAATATCTCACATGATGATTTGGCTCGATTTGAAACTGTCATTTGATCCATATAACCCTAGAATGTTCAAAAATAAGGATATAATTATTACTAACAAGTGTATTGAAGACTTCGATTACGATTAGACCGATGTCTAATTCACTTTGTATTAGATAGAAAGTCATTTACCTGAAAAGGGGAAGCACCACCAGCGGTCGTAAATAATGGAATATCTCCAATGGTGGTATTATATATTCCTCCAGTGTATCCAGATGATACAATACAAGTGCTGTCTAATACTCCATTTAAATAAACGTTTTGTGTTAGTGCTGTTAAATCAAACACAAATGCTGCATGTATCCATGTATTCACTGTTAATGGTGTAATACCTATACAATCATGGTTATAAAAACCTAGATATAAATAAAAGGCAGAATTAGATTGATGTATAATGCACATTAAACACTGGTAAGAAGCGAATTGAGGACATATGCCAAATATAGGATAGTAGGTCACACTCGAAGCTAGGGTAGTGATATAAAGCCAGGTATCAATTGTAAAGCTAGAAGATTGTAGAGGAATGTAAGAAGTAGTAAGCGGTGGATTGCTACTGGTATTGAATATAAGTGCTTGATTGATATAACCACTTGTAATAAATGACATAATATTATTAGTCAGTGTTGCATTATAATTATTCATTTGATCAAGAAAACTTCCATCGAATGGCCATCGAGCTAATCGATTAGATAATGAGTACCATGTTTGGTTAGTACATGAAGAATTACAAGGTAATCTTGTTGTTGTTGTTGCTATTGTGATAAACAAAATGATAATATAGAGTAAAGAAGATTTATTTATCAGTTATACGTTACTTGATGTAGTACTGGTAGTTGTGCTTGTTGTTGATGTAGTACTGGTAGTTGTGCTTGTAGTAGTTGAACTGCTAGTAGTCGTACTTGTTGTGGATGAACTACTAGTAGTTGTGCTTGTAGTTGATGACGTACTAGTGGTCGTACTTGTTGTTGATGAACTGCTAGTAGTTTCACTTGTAGTTGATGAACTGCTAGTGGTTGTGCTTGTTGTTGATGAAGTGCCAGTAGTTGTGCTTGTTGTTGATGAACTGCTACCAGTTGTGCTTGTTGTGGATGAACTGCTAGTAGAACTATTGCTACCAGTCCACGTAGTGAGAGTAGTAGTAATCGTGTAATTCATAGTGAGATTGTCTAAAAAAAGAAATGGACAGCTCGTTAAAAGAATCACTTCATATGTACACTTCATTTTATCTTTCAGTAATTAACGATGGAGAACCCTGAGATGTTCTCTTGTCAGTTATACAACTAACTCTTAACTAACAGAATCCTTGAATAAAAAATGAAAGAAATCAAAAATCATACTTACATCCACATTGATTGTTTAGTAAACATTTCAGATTGAGATCATGGCGACATTGATTATCACTTGTACATCCACCTCCAATTAATTTTTGACTGCGACACATTGATCCATTGAAAAATGTATTAGGTTGGCATTGACAAGTGAAATTTATACATGTTAAATATCGACTACCATCACAAATCGAACAAGGACCACCATAATCAGCGAAATTCTCCATAATGAGCTTTATTGATCCACAAACTGATTCAGAAGAAACAGATGGAACAACTTCACCTGTGCTATCGATATCACCTTGATAAAGACGACAATGTTTCATTTGAATATCATAATTAAATGTACGACATCGTGCAATCATTTGACACATTTGAGCACAGTTCAAAAGTGACCTGGCAGTAGTATCTAACAGAAGAAGAGCTTGTTCATCAGCAGGAGAAAACTCCAGACCAAGGTTAGAAACATCAAAAAATGATTGCCAAATATTTGTTGTTGTCTCTAATGTCTGTGATGTGATCAAAATGAATAAAGTGAAAAGTAGATGACGATAAGAAGAAACCATCGTTATTTATATTCTGAAAAAGAAACAAAGAATAAAAAGTGAGTTGATTAAAATACACATAAATATAACTTAGCACAATTCAAAGAAATGGTTTATTTTGTGTAGTGAGTATTGAAATGTTGTTTGCTTCGAAATAATATTATACTTGTGACAAATGATAGAGTGTAGAAGAAAAAAAAGAAGAAAAGAAATAAGAATGAATACTGATTGTATTAACGTGAATAAGAGAATTATTAGAATAGAAAAGAACAGATATAACTATGTCTAATGTTTGTTGTAATGTAATAAAAAATGGTAGATTTTGATTGTAGGAAAAGAAACAGCGTTTTGTTTAGTCTTCGAGTTCTCTCATTGATTTAGGAAAAACGTCTTCATATTTAATAACAAAAAGAAAAATGAAAGCATTTGTTATTTTCAAAATATATTTTAAAAGCATTAAAATATGTGTTGTTCAAGCGTATAACGACAGAAAGACGTAAGTTATGACGTTGCATTTGTTGAAAAAGGTTTTATATAATTAGTCCGTAAGAAAAAACAATTAACAAATAGTTTCTTGTTATTTGTTTATTGTAAAAGTATTTCAGTAATATTGTTTAGCAACTCTGGCGAAAATATTCATCTAGTGGGTGCTCAACATAGTAATCATTCCAACTTTTTCGTAGAATATTTAGGAAAGTAAAAATGTATTTATCTTTACAAAAATAAAATGGAATTATCGCGCAAAAAAAAATGATATATCAAAATGAAAAATATAGAAAATTATTTTTAGTGAATTAGTTATTTAATATTCTATTCTTTGCTGGTCGAGTCATTCATATAATTAAAAATAAATAATGATTTTGAGATAGAAAAAAAAATTTCATTTTCATATTGTTAACTTCCCTAGTGACAGTGTTGTTTTTTTTGTAGATATTAATGTAGACTTACCTGGAATATTATTTCTTCAATTAAGATAAAAGATCTTTTTTTTTCAAGACAATATTACATATTGCTGGTAGGGAATATTATGAAACGAAAAACAACTAAAAAATTTTGTGTGAATCAATGACGATTTGAAAAAGTAGAAAGATATGTAGATAGTTCTCTCACGGATGTTAATAGTAACAAATTAAAATTGTCTGTTTAACTTTTTGTTTGATAGACGATATTTTACATTTATATACCATTACATTTGTCGTTATCACTGATTAATTTAATAGTTTTCTTTTTTGTTGACTATATTATGTTGTCTTAATTCGTGTTTTATTGTATTCTCATTCGTCTAGAATGTTCATTATTAGAAAAGATCTGTATATGTTTGTATTTTTTCTGTTAAAATAGCTAAAGTTGATGTGAATCTTAAATTATTATTAATATTTGCCTGTTTTTTTTAAATATTTCAATATTAAATAAAACTTGATGAAATATAATGGCACTAATAAAAAAAATATGGTTATGAGTATTTAACATATATTAGCTGAATACAGAACAATTGAATAGAAATTCTCACAAAATCCATCATATTATGTGATGAATAGTCGATTGCCTTACTGAAATTCCAGCACATATACTATCAATGAGTTCTGGGATCAGTTACTAAATATAAAAGAAAAAGAAACGTTATTTACGTTAATCTACTATGAGTCGAATATATTTTATCTATGAACTTGATATGAACTGAATATTGTAATGAAGAATGATAAGATATTCACAATTCAAATATGATTGAACTGATACATGGAGATAACAATATGTAAACTGATGTGATATTTAATTTCTAGTTTTGGTTGAAATATATGCAAGAGATGAAGAGATGATTTTAGAATTCTCCTTCTACATTTGGATATATATATATACA